AAGAAAAACTTTAATACAAGTTTAACATAACAGCAAATGTACAACGTTTTGCCCTGATGATGACAAAACCTTGTCGAAACGTTGTACATTTGCTGTTACGTTAAACTTAAAGCTTTTCTTCATTACCCATTCAAGCCGTCTCCAGCCATTATAAGTTACAGTACAATTTACTAGAAATGTTAAGACAAAAAGGGGCTAGTTGAGAAATTGTGTATGTAGTTAACAAGATGATAAAATTTATTTTTCAGATGTTAAAGACTAGACTTACTTATTATTGAGAATTGTTTGTTGTAAATGTTTTGAAGTTTCTTGGATTGAAGATCATTTATGCAAACAAACAAACAAACAAACAAACAAAAACTAAAAATAAAAATCTGCATTTTTGTACAATAAACTAATTTCATTTTTATAGAAAGTTTGAATTTGAGCTTATTTCCAAAAATTGAAGTTATACTCGTAAGCTGTTTGTTACAAGCAAGATCTTGAAATTTGTATTTTAAATATAATGAAGACTAAGTGCGAAGCGAATTCAAGACGAGAGCAGATTATTTTCAGTAATAAATATTAAAAATCATGTAGTTTATTTAAAAAAAAGTTGTATACAAATTATAAACGAAACTTTAAATAATTTTAAAGAGATAAGACCAAAACATTTTACTTAGAAAAGAAAACTCTTAAAGCAAGATTAAGTAGTTATTATATTAAAAAAAAATATCCAAAGTAACGAAAACTGAATATAAAATCCTGAAATTTCAATCCTTATGGCCAGAGTGTTAAGAGGCGTGGTGGTACTGTGGAACCTGCAAAATATGAAACATTAAATACAGTAAAGTGGATTTGGTTTTAGAATGATTAAGAATTCAGACATTAAAATCAACATTACAGCTGAAACGCTCACAAAGAGAAAGGGGTCCAAGGTAATAAGTATACGAAAGAACAGTAATCTCAAAACATTAAAAATAAATTGTATTTAAACTAACTATTCTCCTCCATTTTCTAGAACACAGTATAGGAACTTCGAGAAGTAAAATATAACTGACGAATGTCAGCAAGAAAAGCATTATATATTTAAACGAGTCCATAAAAGTTCTTTAGATTACTATATAACGAGGAGTAAACGTACCCTTCATCTCAGCTTTAAGAACTGTTGAACTTTTGGCAATCTCTCCTTGAGCTATTGCAACATATAGGTTACCATGGGCAACGAAGGGTTTCACATCCCTTATATCTTCTCTCACAAGAGTTGTATTAGTGACAAAACCACTTTCTCCTGAAACAGAAGAAATCGTTAGTAAAAGCCGATTCTAAGAACTTGCGAATAAGAGACATGTTAAAGTATCTCGCATTATTCCTCACATTATGTAATGTTACACTGTAAAATGCACGAGTACAAAATAATTAGGAGGTCGCTCGAATAGCGAGAATCTGTGACAAGATATTTTGACTACTTAGTTTTCCTTGTATGCAAATCCTATGTTGTTAGCCACACTACATTGATGTCTATCCTGACACGACCAAGATAAACAAACTACATAAAAACAGCCGGAAATATAAAACTAAGTGTAATAATATGAAAGTACGCATTTTATCGCGAAACATTCAATATTAATATTGAATGTCATGTCAGAATGATTTTTGTATAGCTGTATCTTTCCAAAATTCTTAACATTTTTTTGGCACCGCCATCCCTACAGTTTACAAATGGTTTTCTTTTGCGACGTTTTCCCGCCCGATTTAAAGTTAATGTATTTTATAAATGTATAATAAAATTTAAGTAATTATGATTTTTTTTTAAACACTCCTTCACTTACTAAAGATGCCGATTGTATTGTGTACAAAGCATCGAATATTCTAGATTTTACAGTCATATAATGACTATCTATTATTGGCTGGTAATTCCTGTTTAACCCTGTATTTCAGCTTTGCTAAACGAAAAGTCACATTTCTGTACAAAGTTAACTTCAGGGGATGGGGTTAACGATAACATCGTTTATGCTAGAATGAAGTTAAGTTAGTAATTATTGGGACTAAGCCATAAAAATGTGTACCAACCTAGAAACTGAGTAGGTTTAAGGTTTTAAACTGACGTTAAAATAGTTGTAGAGCTATGTCGACTGAAACAAAAAGAAAGATGAAAATTTAGTGGGGGGGGGGGGTAGCTTTCTGGTTTGTATCTTACAGATGATTTCTTTCCTTGGTTTTGGGCTTCTTGGAAAAAAACAGGTGAAAGTGTGCGACCTTATTATTTAAAGTAAAACTGACACTATTGAATTTTTTTGAAGTGCATATTTACATTATACCGATTCAGTAGTTTGCCATTTCTACGGACTAAGTTTAATCAAACACTATCAACAAGACCCATTGATGTATAAAACTAAGATTGATGACGTGTATATTTGTCATTTCAGCGCGAAACTTACGATAAGAGACCAACTAAATTATTTTAAACAATTATTTTTCTCATTCGAATTAAATTCACTAATCGAACCAGCAAACATACACGTTGTTTTGAAAGCGGATTGTGCCACCACACGAACAGATCCAAAACTTAAATGACTAAGTTGTAGGTAAGCTGGAAGAAGTACCAAAGCTTTTACTCATGACATTAGTATAAACAAGTACAATGGAGCTTAATAAAAAAAAAAAAAAAAAAATACATTTTTAAGACTAAACTAAATGTACCTCCCGTTTTTATATACGAGGTATACCATGTTATGCTGCAGTTAACACCCTACCTTGAAGATGATAGAATTCAACTACAGTCGAGTTTGAAATAATCATGTAAAGCTCGTGCAGCCTACCCAACGTGAAGACTTCTAGAGATTTGGGGTTGTCAAAGAATATTTTCTGATGGAGCCGGAATAAGATTTCAAGACAGTCGCAGCTGCGATAGACCTGTAGGGGAGAAAATTCTAGTAGTATTTGAAGAGTGGTTACAGTAACCTTTGCATTCTGTAATAGCTCTCAAGCGATTTGCATTATTCTAAAACTACAGCCAACATATTTAAAGTTTTATTACTTGTAAGCCACTCAAAAAAGAACACTACTCCAAATAGGAATGGAGAACGGGACACTCACCTGAACAGAATTTGGTTCTAGAGCTTCGTGAACAGAAATAGCATTGGTAAAGGCCAGATAGTGTTTCGGACCATGTTGAAAATATACGACATTGTCACTAGCTGGCGCTGCTATCTGTTGTACCAGTTCAATATTTCGGTTGCCAAGCTTGAACAATAGAGATGAACCTTGGGTATACGACGAAGGAAATTTCCTCGCAACTGCTATATGAACCTCTTTCTTGTGAAAACTAAATGCAGCAATACTCGTCGCTTCTAGATTTCGGATGTTGCAATAAAAATTACATTTTCAAATATAATACGACAATGAAATTCAGGTTTGTTTGTGATATGAAGACCAGGACCTTGTTTTAGTTACGTTAAAACAACTGATCGAGTTTAAATATTACATAAAAGGATAGAATTGTCATTTAATAATAATAATAATAATAATAATAATAATTAGAGATTTAGAAATCCACTTGTTCAAGTTGCTATCATGTTCTAGAAGTGAATAGATTGTACAAGCCAAAGGTTTCTTTTCTTGACGTTTAAACTGGGTAATTCAGCGTTTACAATACAAGAGCTTGCATAAAGATGGTCACTACAACTTACCTTTTCCAGCATATACAGAAGCCACTTGTATTAGTAATGCATTGTAACCATGACCTCTTCCGAACACATAAACCTTACACGTGCCTTCCACATGTAGGACGATTATGTTGCAATAAGATTCGTCCCTGTTTACAACAGAAATGTCCAATATACTTTGCCCCAATGAAGCCACTGGCTGATCCATTTCTGCAATTATAGTGTCTGGAAGATGAAATAAAAATTGGTGAATATAACTATTTAAGTATTTGTCTTTAAATTACCTTTATTTTACCGAATTAGCCATTAGTAAGTTTAAATCGAACAGTGCTCCATTAGTTTAGTAGGTAACTATACATACCAACAGTCGATTGTGGAGCAGCCACATAGATCATAAAAGCACGCTGAAGAATGTGAAGAGGAATTCTGCGTACAATAGTAGATGTGGATATCGAGTCAAGGTACAGTAACTTAGGTTGTTCTATTACAAAGTTGTAAGCTCTGCCGTAATAGCTATTACGTGGCATCTTTACAAAAAGATTTGCATGTACTGAGTGTGAACAACATCAGCTTAAGAGAAGCCGTGAATCTGCACGATAAACAGATCATATCTGGCCAGTTGCAATTCTTCGGTGGTGTTAAATCTCTGAACCTCTACGTACAGGGTAAGTTAAAAACAAACTGTTGTCGAGTGAGGAATGTGATCATTCGCGTTTACAGATCTTTATCTTGAGAGTACTAGCACAATGAATGTCGTTACTGTATTCCTTTTATATATATATAAAAAAAAAAAAAAAATCCAAGTTGCCATTCCCTATAGTAACCTACTCTCGTTTCGCGAACTGCAATGTTACTAAATGAACAGTTTTATTTATTTTTACATATCTAAGTCCTTGCTCTTATTTAAGGTCTAATGAATAGCATTAACGTCTGGTTACTGGTGGAGGAAGCTGTCTACCTGGACACCACCCAAGATATTTTCGCAGAATTCTTCCTTGCTAATTTGTTAGTTGAAGAGGAAGTCCTTGTTGGAAATGAAGTGGACCACATTGACTTGGACAAGTTGGATAAATCGGTGGTTAACTTCGACATCGGATTTAAAGCTAAAACCCAATATATTTTGGAAGAGACTCGTCAACAGCAGTTTATTGGAGACTACTTATGGGATGTACTAGAAGGTATCTATAACTTTGTTAAACGGTGACGATTAACTTGCGATCTTCTGAAGTTCACTAAACTAGGAGAAGTAAGATGGTTTTAGATCTTTAAATGTGAGTTTTGTTTTGTGCTTTAATGTTTATAAATTCTAGTAAATATGTATAAACAAATACTATTTCAATACAATAACTGATACTTCTCCTCTTCAGAGTCACTGTACCATCTGGATAAATTCGTTTTCTATGCTTCACTGAACGTCACGGGAGACTTTGTGGATGTTCTTCCAGAGGCGACTGACTTTAATGGCTGATGGCAGTATTACTATTCACGGACGTGTAAACAATATAGACTTGTCTGTAGGAGCTATTACTGTGAACAAAACAGGTCAGTTTATAAAGCCTTACTAAACTTTCGTTTTATAGACGTACTTTAAATCTACGTCTGGTAAATTACTGCATGGTTATTGTTCTCTACATTAGTAGGTTTATTTTCATCAAAGTCAATCGTCACACCTTAGGCTAGGGGAAAATATAAATAATGAATAACCATTTTATATTTGCTAATAACTGAATTTAAAACTTGTAATCAAATTAACCTTTCGATATCGTAAACTACATTTTGTAAAATTGTATTTAGATGGTGATATCCAGCGAATCTACGGTGAAAAGAGCTTTACCAACGTGCTCTTCAAAGACCACGTAACTGTTGTCCAAACTGTAAACACCCACGTTCTAGAAGAGTATAGGAAAGATACTCTTCTGACAACTGGAAACCAGACTGCGAGTGGTCATAAAATAATAAGGGTAAGTCTTGGTAAAGTTGCTCGTAGTTAGTACAATTGCTTGAAATCGGTTCATGTTACATTTGTTTTATGGATTCGTTTATACTTCACCGCCCCTCACAATTTCCTTAATCTTTTTGTAAAATTCTGTTCTTAATCTCCATATTTCAGGGTAACATTCTATACGATGTGAGGCCCTATTTTTATTTTCTCAGTGATTTTTTTTAATATCTACTATTTTTACATGCTACTAGTGAGAGAACCTGTTGTTAAAATATTTGAATCCCACCACTGGTTGTTGGTATATAAGAATTTACCTTTCGATTAACTTTCTTCTAACAGGGATAAGGAAATGCCCCCCCCCCAAAAAAAAACATGTATGTGAATCTGGTTTATTGATAGTTTAGTTACTTCAATCCTCTTGCCTAGTTTAACCAGTTCTACTACATTTGTAATGTAACTCCATCACGGCTTGGGCTTTATTTTCAGATGTGAAGGTTTTCAGAAACGTATTGAAAGGATAGTGTTAAAGATTCTTTAGAAACTTTAAATTAAAAAAAAAAAGTTTTATAATATTTCAACTTAACAAAATTCAAATCTTTATTAAATTTCTTCCATACGTAATACGTTAAAAAATATATTTTAAAAAAATTGAAAAAAATGGATAGTAACAGGTGAAAAACAAAGAAATGAATTATTAGAGAAAGGGGTCCTGTTATGTTTGGAGCGAAAACACAAAAATTTATTAAAAATTTAAAAATGTATTAAACTAATGCATAGATGATAGATCTATCATCTAACAAATTTTATAAATTATTGGGGAAAAATATTTTCTAATGAAATTTCGTGCTTGCCAATTATTAGCATAACATTTCAATTTTCATAGCTGTATAAGGTATATTAATTATATAGATCTAGGGCCTAGAGCTATGTATATAGATGATCTAACCTTAGGTATAATAATAATAATAATAATAGATTAACGTAATTATTTAGATAAGAATCTGTAGAAAAAGAGTTCATCCGCTGGCTAATAATTCAGCACAGATTTGCACTCACACGTAGGCCTAGGACGCTTGTACCGTTATTATTAGGCCTATACATACGATTGTTAACAACCGGTTCGTGGAGGTCATTAAATTCTAATAACAGGTTCGCACGAACCGTTGCGAACCGGCTGAATCCCACCACTGCCAACAACTTCAGTCTACCATCGTCATTATTTACATGTCACAGACTAAACGGCCTAAGAAGGTACATAGTTAAGCTAAATCTGTACTGCTACCAAGTTACCTTTGATTTTCTCAGGTTGGTGAAGATAAATCGCATCTCTGGCTAGTCTGGCAAGATCAATTCCATCTATAGGAGAAACACTAGTAGGGCCTAAAACTTCCAGGTTGTGGAGAACTACCACTTCTTCGGTGAAGGTTTTCGAAGTTGGAATATACTAGGAGTAAAAGGAGATTATATTAGTTCACGCGAGTTGTATGGAATACAAGTTTAAATTGAAAAATGATAAGGGAAGAAATGTTGTAAACTAACCTCTTCTCCGATGATCCAGGTCACATCTGCTACAAACTCTTCCAGGTTTAAGTTGTTCACCACATTCGTCGTTAAGTTATGTTTCACAAAAACTTCGTTGGAAATAGTTTTTGGGATTGTTATACGGCCCCTTTCATTAACCAAAACCGCTTCAGTTTGGAGTCTGGATAAATTTATCCCGTTCACTAGCCCCGAGATGGACAAGATCTTCTCCATTACTACTTCGTTTTGAAATTTTAAATTTCCAAGAACTTCATTGTTTTGGTCCAGATTCATTGTTGTAGCGCTCAAATAAGAAACATCTACTCCGTTTATTAGTCCTGATGTAAAGAGGTTTGAGGATAAGCCCAGTCCACGTTCGAACACGAAGAAACCTGGAACGATATCATTTAATTGTAGTTTCTTTTTCGGAATGAACTAATTAAGATAGGGACCATAATATTCATATGTGGGGATAAGAAGAAAATTCACCTTTAAGAGGTGGGGGGGGGGGGTCTTTACAAGCTATTTCCGTTAGATGTATTAACATACACAGAATGCGGAAAGTATTGTTGTTGTTGTTAATAAGTTTAAGAATCTCAGGACAGTTACCAAGCCATGCAAGATATTCCCATTTGTCAAAGATACAATTTCGTCACGAATATAGAAAAAAAAAAGGCTGCACAAAGGTTTCTTTACGGAAAACTACCAAACTAAAGTATAGCTTAGTTCAACATTACATCCTACTCTTTACCGAAAATAATGTAGTCTTTAAACTATGGATAACTGAAAATTTAGCTTACCTGTAATTACTTGAGGGGAAGTTCTAGTAAGTAGTTTATCGGGAAGGTGAAAACCGTTCACAAGTATAGCGTCAAGATCTCCGTTTATTTGGAGTAAACTTTGGAAGCACACAGGTTTCGTTAGTACGTGGTTACCTCCTGTCATAACAGAGTCTTCTACCAAGTGCGTAAGGTTTACATTGTTTATAAGCTTTTCAACAATGAAATGTTCAGCCACTCCTAAGACGTCTAGGAAAGTAAGGTGCCCAAATAAAATTTGGTTTCCGTTCAGCTTGATAGCATTTGTATTAACTAAATCTAGTCTAGTGTTGGAGACTCCTGCACTCGTTCTAATGTCTCCAAAAACCGAAATTTCACCTGAAAAAAAAGTTTCACTCATATTTATATTAAGAGAGAACCCCCATTCCCCCCAAGTACGTTCTTAAGTAGAATCATATTGAAGTTTATTGAATATAGGCCATCTATCGTTGTGAAGCTGCAGCAATGACCTACACTTGTTCCAATGTGCCGCGTTACCAAACTATGTAATTGTAGAGTTTTCCCACCATAAATCAAAAAGTTATGCCCAACACAGAATATTGTCAGTATTATGGCGTCACATTTAACTTTCAGCTACTTCCCACTTTTAGATTAACATGATATATTTAGATTAAATACAAACTTACCTTCGAAATTCTTTTCAGATACGACTTGACTTTTGCTGAGTGACATGACGTTTTTGGAAAGTTTAGCAAGATCAACGTTGTTTACTCTCTCTGCTTCTATCAAGACAGCATCGTTATCACCTAGTATAACTTCGACCAGAATATTCTGGTTAGAAGAAATTGTTATTCTTTCTCGCGTAAACTTCGTCAAGTCAACTGAATCAACCGTTGTTTCTACCTCAACATCACCAATCACTCTCACCTGTCGAGTCGATAGACATGGCTCTTTCCTCCGATTATCTGCCAGATGCGGTTTGAAAATCTTAGTCACAATTTCCTGAGGAAGAGAAACCATGACAGCGTTCTCTATAATGATGCCATCTACCGTTTCCGCTATAGCATTTTCGACTAAAAGAATTTCAAAGAAGTTAAGATGACCTTGTATTGTACTTGCAGAACTCCGGGAAACACGTTCTGCCTCGAGGACTTTCAAGTCTACCTCGTCTACGATATTGGAGTCTGAAAAATAGCAATTAATGTTAAAAGTTAACGAATAATTCATTATTTATAAAAGTAATAAAGTTATATACATAAAGAGAAGTTAAAGATCTTTAAAGCGAATAATTAGCATGAACAAGGCAGGTTAGACATCGTAATGTCTTTGCTATCAAAAAGAATTATTTAAAAAGATAGGGTTATAATGTAAGGAGTTTATTAACGTAATTAAGTAACAAACTACAAAGTAAATCCATGTCAACTTACCACTTCTCAGGTCCGAAAAGTTTGTCTCGTCAAGGAATTTTGTACCTGAAGTAAAAATATTTAAATAAATTTACATACAAGGACCAAGAGACGCAAGATTTAAACAAAACAATTTTAAATTCACATGGACAAGGTTTAATACAAAATTTAAATGTATTTAGGAGATAAACGTTTTCTCACACTGAACTACATACGTAAATCAACTTACGTTAAGAGTATCTTGCTCACCTCTTATCGTCTGCCTGCCCCCGGTAAACATGAAATCTTCCATGTTAAAGCCATTAATAGTGTTAACTGTAGTAGATTTAATCGTTAAAGCATCGAAGGCCTTAAGTGAATAAATCTCCACTATGTCATCAGTTTTAAATATAGCATCATGATATATTATTCCCACGTCCAATTCGTAGATTTTCTTTTGAACATCCAAGTTTTGCTCCACAAGGACTCCAGCTAAGAAAGTTATTTTCCCGGGTAAGTGAAAGTCCTTCCTTTTTATTAAGCGAGTCAGGCTAGATACGTCGACAGCGTCAACAGATTTTCCAACGATTACGTCTTTCTCTACTCCTATTCCTCGAGCAAACACCTTATCATACAAAAAGTCTTCCAGAGTTAGGGTCACCGCATCCGAAGTATTTAGTTGGTCCACTAAGCCAGTGACGTAGATCTTGACAGACCAACCTCAATTTTGGGGAAGAAGAAATTTAAGGACAATTTCTCGGTGGTGGACAAACTTTTTGTTAGAGGAACAGTGGACAAAGTAAAGCTGCCGAGTGACCTATTTACTTCAAATAGCTCTCAAAACATAACTGCCTTTAAAACATTCGAGGGTCCTCTGTCGGTTACGTATTCTTACAATGTTGGAACCTAGAATATTTAATTGAACATCATTAAATACGCCAGTTATTGTAACATCCTGCACTCGTACCTCCCGGCTGAATTCTTTGGTAGACATTGTCTGGATTGTATTTTCAGTAAGAGAAAAGCGTTTCATCTCTTTAATATCCGTTTCATCTATTAATTTTACAGTTAGATCTTCGTAGACGTATATTTCATCCTTCATAGTTTTATGCGCCTTTATTTGATGATTTCTGTGCAGTGTTACCAAGTCTTCCGATAAATCCATATTGTTTATTCTCCCACTAATATCTAGGGAATTTTCTATAATAAGAGGCTTCATCATATAGTAGAAAGCTACAAGAAGAGAAAAAAAAAATTTATAGAAACCAGATAGTTTGTTTTTGCGAGTAGAAAAAAAACATTATTAAATCAGTATATCAATTAGTTATAAATTACGGAATTATAATACGTTACAAAGTTTAAATAGAGAATGTACTTCATCGTTTCTAAATTGAGTAAAATATTATAATATTCTAAAAAAAAATAAATAAATATGCTAATTAAATACTTGGCGCATTCAAATCTAATAAAAGTTACATAAGTAATCTTAATTTCTTCCAGATCTGATACCACTGAAATCATAAACGGCGAGATTAGTTTTATAACCCCTGTAACAGTACAACGGTCGGTTGAAGTAGGCTGCTATGTGAATCGCTTCTACTTTAATAAAGACGTTATGACTACACATCAAGATCAAGTCTCCACAGGTACATTTCTTGTTTGGAATCAAACTCACTCTACATTAATTTATTTTCTTACTTTACATAAGTATATTCAATGAAGTCATAATAATAAACATACCGATAGATGGAGTCTTGTAGCATCTTGATTTCAGTTGAAGCTATATTTTCTACATCTAGAAATAACGTTCTTAATGATGAAGACTGCACAGCACGTATTTTGTTTGTTCCAGTCATTAGAGTAGCCTCGTCTGAGAGGGCAGCATCTGGAAGATAAAGATACATATTTATACATGTTACAAGAAATGAAGATAAGTTTTCACACGACTTCCGGTCGTCCGCTCAGATCTTACATTTCATATTCGATATACACTGAAGAAAGTTTAGAATATTCCTAGTTAACTTTCGAAACGAAATCTTGGCAAAAATAATTCTTAAAATGTTCATATTACATTATAAATACGTTACCTTCTAGAGCTGAAAGAACATCTTCCAGATTTTGCTCAACATTACTCAATTTTAGAGCTAACGAGTCAACCGTCCACTTCAACTCGTCTAAAGTCAGTTGCGATCCTTCCAAGCTGAAGTTTTCCAATAACTCGAGAGCACTAACGCTTCTATGTAATACGTTCATTTTGTTAAAGATTTGGTGTTCAACGATGAAAACATTTGAGCCAGTCACAGCATGCTCCAAGACGAATGATAAACGCTGCACATTCTTCTTATATTCCTCAAATAGACCCTGCCAAAAAAATAAGAAATACTAACATAATTCTTAAAATTAGGATTGCCAGGAATACTTTCGTATTATACATCGGAACAACATGAGCGTTAAACTATCAACGAGTTAAATAAATTACTAGTCTGAATCTCTAAATAAATCGCAGCAATTAAATCATCGCCTAGTTAATGTAAACAGTTTAAAGGAAATGGAATTCAAGGTCTGGCAACAAAAGTTAATTCTTACCCAAAACTGAGACAGATGTTTACCTGAATATGACTTATAAAGTTCTCCAGCTCCATTACTCTCGTTAACATTGGATCAGGAAGGGGCTTCATATATGTATGCAGAGAGAAAAGGCGCGGGTTTTTTCTATTATCTACAGCTAGAAGATAAGCAGTCTTCTTGTAGACGAATGAAGCGATACTACCAGGCAATAGCTGGATGTCCTGAGGAAAGTTCTGAAATACTGAGAATAGCGATTGGAAGAACAAATATTAGCGGCTGTATAAAATATTAACGATGACAACGAGTTAACTCAAACGAAACTATTAATCTCGAAATTTCTTTCAATTTCAGATATACGGTTACCTACTTTTAGATCAAAAGAGATTACTTACTCTGAGGAGGTACCATAATCAGTTTCTCATCCTGACTGTGCCACATTAGTAAAGATACGGAGTTTGGTATCGTGTCTTGGAGTAATAGAGCAACAATGTCATCTCTGCATGAAGACACTGGAGCTGTATGAAGCTGAATGGCGTTTGGAAACGTCAAGACTTGCTTGGTATGAAATTTTTCACTTCGCCAGACAAGTAAGTGTTGTTCCCGGGATGCGATAATAGCAAAGAAGTGTTCGAAGCCGATACGAAAACTCTGGAGATCACGAATATGATCTACATACAATCTAAAAGAAAGATAAATAACCTCATGCCAGCTGAACTAAAAAGTATTAATCTTTTGTTGGAAGATATTAAATTACCTTCACGACCCTTCTACGAGGAAAACAAAACTAAGGAGAACGTTTAGGTTCTTAGGTAGGTAATTACTAGTTTAGTTTTAGGCGAAAGTCCGAAATACAGTTAAGGTACTTACGTTTCTAACTGTGTATGGGATTGTAGAAACCAATCTAGTTTCAATAGAAGGCATGTAGATGAATTGGTAACAGCCACGTAACCAAATCCGTTTATAACAAAAGTTTCCAAGTCTAGTGGATTAAGTAACCAGATTTTGATTACGTTCTTCCAGCATCCGATACCTTTAGAAATGAAGAATGAAGTCACATACGTAAATGAAGTAGTGAAGAGTTAATGAAATTGAAACGCAGTAACGAAAACCTTTAAAGGTTTTTTTCCAGATTGTTACTTTTGTTGAATGGTAATAACCGTCAACTCTTACTTAGAAAATTAAATACTTATGTCCGTTACCTTAAAATTTGGTTGAAGACATCGATAAAGCACGCGTGATAAACTGTTAAATAAGAGGGGAACAAGTAAAAGTACGCGTGAACTAATAAGCTTACCTTCCTCAATATATTGAATGTTGAAACCAAATGAAGAATGGTAGAGCAGGATAATAGAACTATCGAAATGTGATGAAACGTAACCTATTTTGACCGGAGTATCGTCCAAGTTCAATAGCATGGCCTAGAACAAAATAAAGTTTTCTTTTAAGGTGTATAGAGGTTAAAAATAAGTTTTAGAACGAGCTAGGTTTTGATTTAAGTTTCACATCTTTAAAAGAAAGGATGAAGGAAAAGTTAAGGAAGTCAAATTAAAAAGTAAAAAAAGTTAGGAATTAGCAAGTTACAGCAATATAATAGAAGGGGAAAAATTAGTATTACAAATACTCATTAAATAGTGAAAGGTTTAGTTTGAAATATTCGCACAAATCTACAGAGTATGTTAGTATTAGCAGATCCCAAAGCTTTGGGGCCAGTAAAGTACAGGGTGTGCAGAAAGCTTAGAACTAGACACTGAAAATCAATTAAAGCTACAAATTACCTATGGTTTCAGGCTTTTATTACATCCCGTAAGAGGAAGGTATATTTGTCTGTACCAAAAAGTGTCGAGAGACAATCATTTAAAGTTTAGTTTTATTAAGCGAAAGGTCTATTGAAGCCGAGTGTATACGTAATGTTAACCAGTAAGTACATAATGTTTGAAGTTACTTGTTTTGAAATCCACCTACCTGGTTCGAGTATCCGTTCACTACCGTGTATACAGTTAAACGAGCGGCATGTTCGGAAGCCTCCAGAATGACAACTGCTAAGATTTGCAGCTGTTCGTAGGTTTTAACGAAAGATATAGAATCAAGGATAATAGCTAGAATTAAAAGAAAGCCTGCATAAGTGAAGGTTAAATTAAAAGATGCAAAAAGAATTAAACATTAAAGCCGTAGATCAAGAAAATGTTAGAATAAATGTTGTTCATAATGGTGCGATGTGTAGTTCATTAGCAACAAAAAAAAAAAACTACTTAAAGCACGAGACAGATTTCGTTACCCTAATATAATTAAGTATATTAAAACATTGGTATAATTTATTTTGGAAGTAGAGATTGAAGGCCAAGTATTAGTTGAAGTTTAAATACACAATACATTTTTACTATTGATTAGTAGTCTATAAAAAGAAGTTACTTTTTCACCATATTTTAGAGCTTTATATAAAAAGTTACCATTTTCTGCAATGTGCGACAAGATAGCTGTTGGTGTTCTCAAACTCATGCCATCTGCTAGATCGCCAATTCGCCATAAAAGAACTTTCTCGTTTTCAACAGACAGTATGAAGTCAGAGTTGTTAAACCGAACGTATCGCCACAGTTTTGTACAGGAGTCTGTCGTCAAGCTTTCTTCGTAGATATTTTGTAAAAAGATATCTGGTAGAAGAACAAACAAGTTTCGTTGATGTATAATGTGCAGGTTAAGTAAGAGTCAATAGACGAGTAAGTTAATGTAATCTTTCCTTTCGAGAGAGTTAGAGATTCGTTTTATATTCTTGGTAGTAACTTGTTACTCCTGTGAAAGCATATAAAAGGTACCCTAAAAGTTCTGTAGAAATACTAATCGGTTGCAAGTTTAAAGGAAGTTCTGTTAGCGTACAAAACCTCTTTGAGAATGGGTTACTTTAATAACTTCCAAATGCAGCCATTAGAAGGAGTGTTTTTGAAAAAAAGTTAAAATAACAATCGCGCAGTTTGTTTAAAAGTTGCACATTTTGAAAGTTAAATTACAAACAACCGATAAGAGCAGCATTCCCCCCCCCCCCAAAGAGTTAGATTTCTTGACAGTAGAAAATAATTTACCAGTAGTTATCAGGGAAAGAGGAGGAATTATAAACATTAGTCTACCAGTTGTAATTATTTAGGCTACGTCTATTATTAAAAGTTTAGTAATATTTGTTAATCATACAATTATGAAAGTGATGTAGGAACTAATGAAGTAGCAAGTTTCTAATAGAGGAGAAATTTTTAGATTATATCGAGATGAACTTCCCCAACTCCTCCCTCTTAAAAAGTAGCGATAAAAAGATTATAGACCGATATAGTACTACTAGTTTGATTACAATATCAAAGTCCTACTCGTATTACACTAAATTTTACACTTACCTTCTCTGTTGTTGTAACCAGTACCAGGTATAAAGCCATGAAAAAAAGGTGTAGTTTTCTCCAGTTCTGGATGATCCATGTCATAAAAGAAGTCATCCGTGTCATAGTTTTCTCTTGCAAAGTATTGCCGAGTCATATCCAAAACCACAGAATTAAGAGTATCAGCAAAAACACCGTTACGTTGGTAGTTTGCACGCTGGTAAGAAATAAATACAATTTGTTATTTAATTGTAGCAGCAAAAGTTAAAAACAACGTATCGCAAATTAAATCATAATGCACATAATATAGTTTTAGAAAATAACATTTCATTTACAAAAAGTGTTTAAAAAATACATTTACCTTAACTAAATCCACCCTCCCCAATATAGTCATTCGCGATTTTACCTTAATTATACAGTTGTAATAATTAATAGCCAAATATAAACAACTCATAAAAAAAAAGACAATAGCCAGGGTATTAGATGAAAGGAGAAAAAAAAGACATCAATAATACTTACCACAAATTCCGATGATAAAGGTCGCCATACCCATAATGATAAAATAAAGTAAGTTACGAACCACATATCACCTGAAAACAAAATTATAAAAATAATTAACAACCCATTCTGATAACATTATCCAATTCACCTTAAAACAAAATCACCAACAAATTTGATTTTTCTATAACACATCCTTCACTTACCAAAAATAACACAAGACACACCGGTAACGTCAATCCAGTGAATCCCATTAATATAGTGGAATACTCTGCCTCAAGCTGTGGGCGTGGCACACGACGCCAACCTTTCTAACGACACGTAACCTACCGACATAAATCGTATTCAAAATACTGATTTTGTTTTCTGTAAAAATGTTCCACATTTTTTGTATATTTTTCTTCCGTTCCCAAGTTTATCAGCCAATAAGTATGAGTGACTTAATGAAAGAGTATGGTTGCTTTCTAAATTTTGATTCAGCATTTGAACATTTATTTACTCATTTACCTAATTGTAAGTTTGTAGCATTGTACTGAGAAAGAATGGTAGTAAAGTATTTAGAATATTTATATTTGTAATAAGGTAGACTGTTTTAAATCTAAAGCGGACACCTTTTCAACTTTCTCTCACTCACTAGTAGAATCAATGTATATAGAGAAAAAATGGTATCACAAATAACGTGTTCTGTGATACTCTTAGCTGCACCTTGGGTATGCCAGGTTCTATACGAATTTAAATATAAGATTATTAATTGCTACTGTATACAGGTCGAACCAAGTAGCGGCTATACCTATATATTGAAAGTGGAAAATAAGTTAGTAATTTTGGTAAGTGTAGTGAACACTATAAATATGTTTACCGCAAATGAAATTATTTCATTTTTGTGTTAAAAACAGGAGTTGGAAAATAAAAATTTTTAAGAAATTTAATCACGTTTATAGTTTCTTTTAAAATGTAGCTTCCAAAATTCTTAGTTCACACCTTTCTCCTTCACACTATTATATTACAATTAGGAAATCTTAGTAAGCACTGTGAATGTGTTCGATCCGTAGCTCTTATCACACTTGTATTATTAGTAAGAAATCTTACATTTAATTTCAAGATAATTATCACAATAATAACAGACTGTTTATTTTTTAAACAGTTAAATGATGTAAAAGAGAATGATATTTATTACATATGCTGACTACGCAAATAAATAGATTCGAGATAAAAGTAAGAAACAACAAAATACAATACCACCATTATATTGTCCATATAAATGACCTGTAAGTGGCCCGGTTTTAGCATGTTGGAACTGTGTGGCCCGGTTTTAGCATGTTGGAACTGTGTGGCCCGGTTTTAGCATATTGGAACTGTGTGGCCCGGTTTTAGCATGTTGGAACTGTGTGGCCCGGTTTTAGCATGTTGGAACTGTGTGGCCCGGTTTTAGCATGTTGGAACTATGTGGCCCGGTTTTAGCATGTTGGAACTGTGTGGCCCGGTTCTAGAATGTTGGAACTGTGTGGCCCGGTTTTAGCATATTGGAACTATGTGGCCTGGTTTTAGCATGTTGGAACTGTGTGGCCTGGTTTTAGCATGTCGAACAGTGTGGCCCGGTTTTAGCATGTTGGAGCTGTGTGGCCCGGTTTTAGCATGTTGGAACTGTGATTCCATAGATTAATGGTTTTAGGTCTCTTGCTGCATCTTTGTATTATTGCAAGATTATTAAAAATTGTGAATTTAAAAAGAAGGAATAGGGGTCATCAAACAAATACAGAAACTAGATAAGTAGATTAGAGTGAAAATGTAATCGCACAAAAATAAACGAGTAAGCTTAAGGTTTGAAACATAGTGTTCACATAATCTCCCCCAGCTACAAGTTCCTATTTTGACTCTCCTAAATATCACAGCTTTTAAACATGGAGTTAAAATTGGAATTTGTAGCTTAAGTCCATCTGAGTTGTTTCATAATTCCAGAAGTGACCTACTGTCACCCTAATTTCAAAACACTGTTCTAGATAACACCCTTCATTGAGTTACCGTACTCATTTAGTTAAGAATCACCAGTTGAAAGTTCTCGTAGTTTTAGTGTGATATCTCATCGAACCACCAAGTTAAAGAAGTTTTAAATTTTACATTACAGTTTCAAGGTTATTAAATTGCTTTTATTCTAGGTTCAAAACATTTTCAGAGTATCTCAAAACTAGAAAGAGATCATAATGTAAATGCAGTAAATGCAACTCGATTATATTCACAACTGCTTGACGAATTGTGAGATTATAATACAAGACACAATGAAATTTCTTGAGGAATGTGTTAGGCTAGGTGGCACTGCAGTTTTAAAAGTGTTTAACTATAGATATTGTCACGGGTGGGAGTATAAAGGAGGTGGTGTTCCTACTGTAAGATCAAATGAAATGGTTTGTTTAGTAATTGAACTAATACAGGTCTTGGCCACTTTGTAAGATGCATAAAAGCACACACACACAAAAATAATGACAATGGACCCTTTTGAACACTCTTTGTGACTTTAAGTCCTTTCTTCAAATTGCAATCGGTGACAATATCCATATTGTTGCGTAAGCGAAGTCACATGACTAGTGTGACGCCACGTTTCTAGAACTATCCTGTACCTTGGCGAATGCTCCAGCGTTTACTAGATATAGGGTAGGCTGGTATATAAAAGAGGGTGAAAACGTGACGGGAGTGTAATGTGTGTGTAGATACTGAGTAATTGAACTGCAGTCAGAAGTATTGTTGACGTTCGTTGATATAGCGTTTGTTATAGAGTGATTGTTGAAAATAAGTGTATCGTAAAGTTGCATTCGGAAAGAATAAACCCA